GAGAGGCAACATCCCCAGCTCCCGGCCACCCAGCTAGCAAATTGAAGAACTGGCATTCAAACCCAGGCCTCACCAGCTCTAGCCCCTGCCTGTATTTTGTACTATTCTGATCTGTCCTCCTTCCCCTAGCCACCGGCCCAGAATCCCAGAACTTCTTATTGTTCAAGCGAGGATGCTGGGGCCTTCCAGAGTCTCTGACCCGCCCTTCGCACAAACTCTATCTAAATGAAGAAGAGGATTTTGTTTATTGTCTCTTCGTATGTTTGTTTATTTGTCTGCACATTTTCTGCATCGGCTTTGAAGTTAGGGGGGTTGACCCCAGTGGGATGCTCTGTGATGTATTTTCTGGAGAGAGTGCAACAGGTGCCTGGGCGCAGGGTACTACTGAGAAGCCACTGCTGACCTCCCTGGTCGGGCTCTTGTCATCTCAGCCTGAGTGGCACAGAGCCTAGAGATGGGTGAGTGGGTCCATGTTTGTGGGAACAGGCAGCCAAATCCCGGAAGGAGTTAGCTCCTACCTGAGATGCGGAGCAGGACCGGGAGGTCAGGCCAGCCCCCCGAGCTCTGCTCCCTGAATCAGTGGTATTTTCACTCAGGTGAAAGGCCCATTCCCCTCACAGGCTGAGCCTTGTGAGCGAAGGGGGTGGGGGTGGTGGGGACAGGCGTCCAGGAGCCCTTGAGGAGGGGGCCATGAGCACCGCCACAATAGAAGAGGGATGAGGAGGAGGTTTGTTTCTGTTCTGTTCTTCTCCAGTGGGCTGGAACGGTGTCTGGAAGGAAGGCAGAGAGAGGCGGGGAAGTCACTGAAGGAAGGAGGGTAGGGACAGAGGGAGGGTGGCAGTGGGGGCTGGGGAGGCAGGAAGAAAGCAAGTGGCTGTTGCAGGGATGACAGGAAGGGGGGGGCGGGGGCGGCCCTCAGTTCTGCTCTGGGCCTGGCTGCGGGCCAGCAGGCTGCCGGCCCATCCTGGGGAGCTGGGGCTGCCTTGCAACAGGAAGAGAAAGCAGGGCAGGGTGCTGCGGTGGGAGGGTGAGTCTCTGCCCGCCCACCCCTGCCTGGCCAAGGAAAATGCCCGTGCAGCGAGCGCTGGCCATGTTACGCCCTTTTACCCATCTGACTTACTTACCTGAAAAAACCTCTCTGCCCAGACAGCCTTAAGGATCACGAAGCTCACAGACGGTAAACGAGCCGGGGGTCACCCAGCTTGTAGGCAGCAGGGCTGGGAAGCTCCTTGCCCTGCACCAGCTGCCTCTACTATCCCAAGGTGTGGCTTGGCCAGGGATGGGGAGGAGTGGGGACAACAGGCCAAGGGCTCCTGAGCCTTGTTCCTCTGCCCAGATCTGGCCGGCTCTTCCTCTCTCATCATTTATTCATTCCTTTGTCCTTTCACTCATTCGTGAGCATCCCAGTCTGTATACTGGACCCTGGGGGACTGCATCGAACACGCTAGATACAGTCCTTTCCTTCCAAAGCTCACAGGCTAGTGGGAGTCTCTAAGGAGATTCAGAGTGATCTGGAGTAAATTTTAAGTCCCGTACCCCTGCTCCCCTCCCCCCTCCCCCCCCCCCCCCACACCCATGCCTGTATCGGCACACACACAGAGTCCACCTGTTCAAGTGTGATGAAAAACCTAACACACACTAGCCCTTAGCTTGGGCCAAGCTTCTCTCCCAGGCCACCCAGCCATGAACAGGCCCTGTGAGCAGGATTTCTCAGGTTCCGGCCCCATTGGTAATGGCAGGTGCTGTGTTCACCGTGCCCCTCAGGGATTTCTGGGCTCCTCAGCTGAGCCTCAGGCTCTTGGGTGCTGCTCGAGCCCCGTGTGGGAGACCCATCCGCGTTCACGATGCCAGGTCTCAGCGCTGCCACAAAGCCGCTCGGAGGCCGCATCTCAGCAGAGCGGCCAGGAGGTCCTTGGATGGGGCCTGGCCCCAACTCTCTGCTTAGAACTCATTTTCTGCTGTGAGCTTCCAGAGTTCCTCACGCAGCCACACTCTGCCCCGTCCATCATCCCTCCTCCCCTCAGGCCTGAGTTTCTGCAGTCACTCAGGCTCAGGCTGGAAGTGCTACTGTCCTTGACCAGCTCCGATTCAGACAATGTAGGTAGGGAGCCCCCAGACAGCCGGAGATGAGGCCGAGGCTCTGTTCCTCACGTTGATCCCCTTTTCAATGGCAGACCCCGGGAAAAGCATGAAGAGCAGTGAGCGGATTCAGAGTTTCCAGGCTGGGGGTGATCCAGGGTTCAGCGTTTGGGGAGAGGTGATAGGAAGAGAGAGACACAGCGATTGTGTGCCAGGCACTGTGCTACAGGAGCTCCTCAAACACTTTCTCGGCCCCAATGGGGACTCTGCGGTGGGACTCTCTTTGTATTGTACGGGGTAGGAAATGGAGACTCAGAGAGGTTAAGTAACTTGTTCAAGGACACACAGCTAGTAAGTAGCAGATCTGGGACTCCTCCACATCACAGCAAGCCGTCAGGGGGCGCCTTCCTCCTTAGTGCTGGGGAGGCTTTGGAAGAGAAGCACAGCACCTTGAGGCCACAATCAGACCAGGACCCCACGGCCCAGGCGACTCCAAACCAGTTATCGGGACACGTGAAATGTCCTCTCACTGAACCATGGCATCCAAGCCGCAGGGATGCTGGACCAGAGCCAGGGGAGGAGAAAGAAAGCTACAGAGATGGTTTGGGAAATGAAATGTTCTGCTGGGTGCCGGGGGCCTCTGGGGCTGCCCACATGATGGGAGGCCCGATTCCTCACTGTCCATTCAGCCCCACCATGGCTGCACTAAGGCTGGGTTATAAATAGCTGGGAATATAAATATTGGGCAGGGAGAGCAGAGTCTAGCCGGCTCCCGGGCTGAGAAACGTGGAGTTGGGGTTGAGAGGACAGTGGTTGGTCTGGAACTAGACCTGAGGTTTTCTGGAAAGATCCATCTCCTCTAGCGATAGCAGCTGTGAGAAGAGATCCAGATCCTGAGCTGCCCCGGGGTAGAGACCTCCACAGGACGCTGAGATTCACACACACCCTGGTCTGGGTATCCGGGGGTGCCCAAGTCCATCCTAGATGACCAGGGACCCCTCACCAGGGTCCGGATGCTCTGAGGTCTCCGCCGATGAGGAGGAAACTCACATGCACTGAGCACCTACCAGATGTCAGGCGCTGGGCACATGGTGATGCCATCACTGAAATAAACTCCTTAAAAGCAAAGCCTTCTTGAGTAGCTGCTACCTCAGGAAGCCCTTAAGCACCTTATGTATGATGATATTGTTGTGTTATGATTGTTAATGTCAGTAACCCAACGACGCAATAACAGTAACGTAAGAACACAATGACACACAGTAACGGTAACTACCGTATCACTATAATTTCTTGAACGCCTTCCATGCTTCAGGCTCAGGCTTGAGCTTCACAGATCATCATCATCATTGTTGTCATGGTCCCCATCATCATCGTCGTCGTCGTCATCATCAGGCTGACACTTGTTGTGTACCTATAGCTGCTGTGTTCAGTGTTTATTAAAGACTTACTTGTCTAGTTTAACCTGACCCTGTACCTACCTTGTGAGGTTGGTGTTCTTTTTTTTTTTTTAACCTTTATTTTTGAGACAGAGAGAGACAGAGCATGAACGGGGGAGGGTCAGAGAGAGAGGTAGGCACAGAATCGGAAACAGGCTCCAGGCTCTGAGCTGTCAGCACAGAGCCCGACGCGGGGCTCGAACCCACACACCGCGAGATCACGACCTGAGCTGAAGTCGGACGCTTAACCGACGGAGCCACCCAGGCGCACCCCCCCCTTTTTTTTTAATGTCTAGTGTATGTGTGTTAACTCCCCTGTCTCGAACTTGAAGAGATACGTGTGAAGATGGTACTTGGCTGGTCATGAGATGGGAAAACAGTGGGATTCCTTGAGGTAGGCATCCTTACCGCCATTTTGCAGAAGAGAAAACTGAGGCACACGGCAATGAAATAGCTTGCCTAAAGTCACCTGGCTAGCAAGCAGCAGGTGGAGATTTGAATTCAGGTCTCTTGTTCCAAAGCCTTAACTCTTCCCAGAGCACATCTCTGTCCAAGGGAGCTGACGCAGAGAAATGCCTGTTGGGCAAATGAATGAACGAACGAGCGCGAATGAGTGAATGAATGAACACGAATGAATGCATGAGTGAACGTGTGTCTGCCGGAGTCGGTGGGTGGAATTTCCAAGCCCTGACTGGGTAAGCAGGTTGTTCAAGGTCACGGCGCCAGACAGCAGCAGAGAGGGTGAAGAGTCCCGGCTCTGGTCTCTCGGTGCGGGCTCCCCTTCCAAACCTTCTTGATGCTTGGAGCAGAAGCAGCCTCTTCTTGGCAACCGTTTTGCCCTTACTGGCGTCTGGGATAATGGTAGATTCCAATTTCTAGGCCAACTCCTTTCCCAACCTCCAGGGAGCCTGGCGGAGGCCCAGGGCTGGGCCCTGCCCCTCCCCACGCAAGCAGTCAAGGCTAACAGAGAGTCATTTTTCTTAGCTCCCCCTTTTCTCAGGCGGTTCTTCCAGCTGCAGGGCTGGGAGTTCCTGCTGGCTGCAGAGGTGTCCCCTGGGGCCTCAAGACTGGCTGGGCAGCCCCCCCAAACCTTCCGGGGGTTGGCCACCAGAGGTCTGTGCAGTGGTGTGGGGACGGCTTCCAGGTCTCCCTCTGCTTCCTGGGCGCTGCCTCCCTGAGCCTGCTGCACACCTTCTGCAGCTCACTCTTGCCTGGAAGGAGGGGGCAGGGAAGGAGCCAGGGCCTCCTGCCAGACTCCCTGAAGGGTGGGAAATGAGTCGGCAAGGAAACTAGAATTTGCTGTTAATCCAAGCACGAGTAAGGGCGAGCCGGTTGCCAAGAAGAAGCTGCTGCTGCTCCCAGCAGCATGAAGGTTTGGGAGGGGAGCCCGCACCGAGAGACCAGAGCGGGGACTCCTCACCCTCTCTGCTGCCTGCCTCTCGCTTCCTCCCCTGCTCCTCACCATCTACCCCTTCTTTCTTGCAGGCGAGCTCCTGCCCCGGCTCTTCTGTCCGATCTCAGGCTTCCTCCCCTGTGACCACGACCGTGTGACCATGACGGCTCTGCTCTGTGGCAGCTGACCTTTCTGACCGCTATCTAACACCCCCTCTTCTTCCTCTGGTCTCGCTGACATATTCTCTCCAGCCCTTCCCACTCACCCTTCCAACACCCTCCACTCACTCTCCCAGACCACGCTTTCAACTCTCCGTCCTTCCCACCCTCCCCCAGCTGCCCTTTCTCCCCAGGACTTAACCAGGATGCCCAAGACTGCATTCAGCGAACACTCTTCTGAGTCCTGGACCAATAAAAGCCCTGACCTCCCAACACTTCCTCAGACGCCAGATGTCACAGCCCGATGTCATCCTCTTTCTCCCCAGGCATCCCCGTCCCCCTGGTTGCTAAGGCAGAAGTGTCCGATGCATTCAGATGCCCCCCACGGCTTCCCAGCCTCCCTCCCAAGACCTTCTAACCTGTCTCTGGAGCCTCTCCTACCACTTAAATGGCTCTCTCCCAGAGCAGCCCCACCCCTCCTCAGTTCCAGCCCTAACTTCCTCTCACCAGACCCTTTCTCCACCGAGTGGCCCGAGTGACGGCTTTAAACACAAATTGGATCAAGACACCACCTGCTCGAAACCCTGCACAGCTCCGCATGACTCTCTGGTGCAGTGCACATCCCTTACTTAGCCCGTGGACTCACGACGGAGCCCTCCTCTGCCCCTCCGTCTCCCACCCCTTCCAACTCTCCCCTATCTAGTCTGTCTTCCAGGTTTTCAAAATAGTTTCATTGAAGTGTAATTTATAGGTAATAAAACTCACTCATCCTAGGTGTAGAGCTTGATGGATGTGGATAATTATGTACAGTTATAGGCACATGGCTGTTACCCCAAAGGTCCCCTGAGTCCCTTTGCAGTCACTCTCCTAGCCCCAGGCAGCCACTGATTTGCCTTATGTCACTATCGCTTTGTCTTTTCCATAACTTTATATAAATAAAATTACTGTTTGTAATCTCTCATGTTTGACTTACTATACTCAGCATAATGTGTAACAGATTTATATATATTGTTGCATGTGTTAATATTTCATTCTTTTTATCGCTGAGCAGTATTCCTTCATGCCAATGTGCTACAACTGGTTTATCCATTCATCTGTTGGTGGGCATTGACATTACCATGTTTGTTTCTTATTTTCTTGAAATTTTTTAGTGTTTATTTATGTTTGAGAGAGAGAGGGAGGAGTCAAGAGAGGGGAAGACACAGAATCCGAAGCAGGCTCCAGGCTCTGAGCTGTCAGCACAGAGCCCGACGTGGGGCCCGAACTCATGAACCATGAGATCATGACCTGAGCCGAAGTCAAGAATCGGACACTTCACTGACTGAGCCACCCAGGCGCCCCTGCATTATCATTTTTGGCTAATATGCATAATGGTGCTATGAACATCACTGTACTAGTCTTTGTGTAGACATACGTGCTAATTTCTCTTGGGTAAATACCTAGACGTGAAATGGTTGGGGCATATGGTGCGTGTGTGTTTAATTTTATAGGGCACTGTCATATTGTTTCCAAAGTATTTTACATCCCCACCAACATCCCCACCAACAGCACACGAATGCCGTTCCTCCGCATCCTCTCTGACATTTGATATTGTCACTTCTTTTACACATTAGCCATTCTCGTGGGTGTGCAATGGCATATCACCTCCTGATGACTACTCATGTTCACTGCCTTCTCATGTGCATATTGGCTGTTCATCCCTCTTCTTTTGGGAGTGCCTGTTAAACTCCTTTGCCCATTTTTAAACAAGATTTTATTTTTTAAGTAATCTCTGTCTAATGTGGGGCTCGAACCTACAACCCTAAGCTCAAGAGTCACACGCACTCTACTGACTGAGCCAGCCAGGTGCCCCTTTCCCGTTTTTTATTGGATTCTTGGTCTGGCACCTCTTTCTTTTCCTCTTCTTCCTTTTTTTTTTTTTTTTTTTTTTTGGTTTCTTTTCTTTAAGCCCTAACAGATCTGTATATCCACAGCTCTTTGTCAGATATGTTTTACAAATATTCCTTCCAGTCTGTCACCTTAAGTGGCTTTTAAACCATAGATTAGGGGCGCCTGGGTGGCTCAGTCGGCTGAGCGGCTGACTTCGGCTCAGGTCATGATCTCATGGTCTGTGAGTTCGAGCCCCGCGTCGGGCTCTGTGCTGACAGCTCAGAGCCTGGAGCCCGTTTCAGATTCTGTGTCTCCCTCTCTCTGACCCTCCCCTGTTCATGCTCTGTCTCTCCCTGTCTCAAAAATAAATAAAACGTTAAGAAAAAAAAATTAAAAAAAAATAAACCGCAGATTATGATCCATCAATGAGTCATGAAATCAATTTAGTGGTTCAGGACTAATGTATATTTTTTGAATAAAGTAGAATAGAATCGTCACTTACAGAAGGCATTGCACACAGGAAGACAAAGCATTGCTTCACACGCTTTCAGCTGTATGTGTGCATACTTGCATGAGTGTGTGTGTGTGTGTGTGTGTGTGTGTGTAACACGGCATCATGAAGTGAAATGTATTCCTTCTCGTCGTCATAAATTTCAAAAGCCTCTGCTCTAGCCCCATAGGTGCTCAAACTACGTATGTTTAATGACCAAAGGAGCAAATAAATGGACTGGCCATGGCTTGGGAAGGTCTCCCAATCTGCTGGATTTCTCAGATTCATAGCATTTCCAGTGCCTGCAGTGGCAGCTGCAGGAAGGGGCTGGAACACTTTTCGTGGCCTCCTTTCAGTTGAGACTCCCAGCTGGCAGATGCTCTCAGTCAGGTCGCTGTTTCGCCAAGTGTACATCTGATGCAAAAAATCCCTGGGATTTCTCCGTGTGGAGAACTGTGAGGGAAGGCTGGGAAGCGCTAGGTCAAGGAAAGGTAAATGCAAATTTATTGCAGGACTTCTCAGAGCCTTTAATATGCTAAGGGATGTTCTGAGTCTCCATGAGGGAGACAGAGCTGGCATCATTCTCCGAGTTTGTTTGAATACAAAATCTTTCCTCAATCGTGATAGCCAAAAGGTAGAAATAACTCAAATGTCCATCAACGGATGAATACACAATCAAAATGTGGCACATCCACACAATGGGTTATTATTCAGCCATAAAAAGGAATGACACATTTATCCACATGGCTCAACTTTGCAAACACTATGCTGTGAGGAAGCCAGACACAAAAACAGCACACATTTCATGAATCTACGTATATGAAATGCCCAGAATAGGCAAATCTATAGGGACAGAAAGTAGAATCGCGGTTGCCTAGGGCTAAGAGAAGTAGGGAATTAGAGCCGAAGGGCTCAGCCTTTCTTCCAGACATGATGAAAATGTTCCAGAATCAGTTGTGATGGTTACACAACTCTCTGAACACACTAAAAGCCATTGAATTGTACAGTGCACTTTACGCGTGTGGATGGTACGATACAGAAGTGTTACCTCAATAAAGCTATTACCACAAACAAAGCACAAAAGTCTTTCCTCGAGTTGCTTTTTGAAAAACTAGTGTTCTAAGGAACTTACTTGGGAAACAAAGATCTAAGCCAGGCCCACTGGGTCCCCCTGGTGGACTGGAGGACAAAGTTCACTTGCGATTCTTCAACTTTTCCCCACTTGAGGAAGTCAATGTGATTTTCTTTGCCGAGAGAGCCAGGGTCAGAGTGATGCCCTGCACAGTTATGTTCCCTCCTGGTGGCACAGGGACAGAGTCAGGGCTGGGTAAGTGTGCAGCACAGGCCCTGGGGTGCTCGGTTACCAGCTTTGCTTGGGAGCCAGCTGTCAGTGCTGCGCTGGTCCCATGGGTACCCTGTGTCCTGGCAGGGGAGCCAGCCCAAAATAGCACAGGCTGGGACACCAGTTGGGAAAGCAGATGGGACAGTCTGGGGCTTGGGAAGGAGCAGATAAGGGTTTCACTCCCAGTTCTGCCGCCTTCCTGTGCGACCTTGGGTGCGGCGTTCTGTCTGGGCTTCCGCTTTCCCACTTTGGGGAAGGAGAAATCAAGTTCTGCTCTTCTCCCCCAACAAGACTTCTGGAAGAATCCAGGCTGAAGACTGTTAAGGCTGCCAGGGACTTGGACGCTTGAATCTGCCGTCTACTCTCCCCGCCAGGCCGACCTGTTAGAAGCGTCCCAGTGCCAAGGGGCTCACCGCCTCCCATTTCGTTGCTCAATAGCTCTGGCTGTGGCTGGCAGAAGCCCTTCCTCATATTGGACTGACTTCTGCCAGCTCCTTCCGCTAGCCTTCGTTCTCTCCAGAGGGCATCATGGAATGTGACTAATGCCTCTGCTACCTTGCCCTGCAGAGCCCGCCTCATTGGGCCCTCTGACCTCCCCGGGTGCCAGGAGGCCACTCCCCACCCAGAGCAAGCTTGCACATCCCTGCCTGACAGGGGGCCAATATCCGCACCATTGGATCCCCAGCCTCCCAGCCTGCCCCTCACCTCCCTGGCCTGGGCCATCTGTCCCAGCCTCCGGTCACTTGTCAGACCTGCTGCTGAGTGACCCCTTCGGCTGCTCCGCTTCCCAGATGCAACTTCTCCTGGCTGCTCTGTGGACCCTCTTCTGACCTCTACAAGAACCCCTTCAGCACCCAGCTGGCCCCCAGGGGCCCCTTCCCACCCCACTGAGCCCGGGGCTGGGTGTTCGGCCTCTGTGGAAGGAGTCGGACACACTGGACAGCCCACTGGGTCTTTGGAGATGGTGACTGTGCCCGTCTGTGAAGCCCAAGTCCATCTGTCTCTTCCAAAGTGGCCATCCTCTCCAGGAGTGCGGCCACCTTGAGCTGACCACACACCTCCAGCACAGCCTGATCAGGTCGGCTTGACCACGGCAGGGCCAGGCAGAGCAGAGGAGTACTGCCTGCCTCTCCTTCTAGAAGCCACTTTCTGTTAGTGTCCAGAAGAAGTCTAAGGTCACAGGGAAGTCCCTTGGCATCTAGGAATGCCATCCTCCTTGTTTGCCTCCTTCTATGCCCTCACTGGGCGTGAAGGGCCATCAGAGGAAGCCCCCAGGATGATGCTCCCCCCCCTTGCTGTGTGTCCTCCCCTCGATCCCTAACCCCTGGGTCTTCATTTCTCTCTGGGATGAGAAGTTGGGCTCTACCACTGGCAAGCCTGACTCTTCAGGGCAGCTGGTCCCCAGGCCATCCTCGCCCCTGCATCGGACGCCCTGCTGCGTTGGGGGTCCCAGCCCACCACGGTCCCTTGCATGGCTGACCGGAAGCAGCCCCGTCCCGCACTCGTCTCAGTGAGTCACTGCACCGCGACGTGTTTATTAGGATGGCGGGGGCTCATTTTGCCAACTTTGGAACCACGGGAGCCGGCTAAGTTTAGAACAAGCCTTGAGCGTGAGGACGCCGTGTTCCTTCTCCTTCTGGCAAAACACGAGACTTGAGCTATTCTTTTTATCTTTATTCTCCCAGACAAGTCCTAAGCTTTATTTACCACTACATCTGTCTTCTCCCAACACAAACTCCTCTGTAATTAAGGGGGAATACACCCCCAATCAGCCTAAGGTTGAAAAACACCAGCTCATTGGAATGTTTCAAGGACTATAACAAAGGCTCTGAAAAATAGGATGCTTTCCTACTTAAAGCAGAGGTACTTCATTTAGTTCCTGTGGATGGGCTCCACGAGATGCAGGAACCCCCCAAATTCTTATGTGAATGTGCTTTTACCTGGGCAAAGAGTCCATAGCTTTTCTCAGATTCACAGAGGGGTTCACGGCTCCTGCTCAAAATTACAGATTTAGTAAAAGATGGCCACCTTGCACCTGTATTGCACTGTAGAGTCCTCCCCCCACTTTGGGGTGTCCATGATTAGATATGAGATGTCTTCTCGGGATCTGCACTGGGAGCGAAAGCCTGGAGCCCGAGTCAGGTTGGACATGCTGAAATAGGACTATTGGGAGGACAATCCTGGGTCCAGTGGAGGTGGAGAGAAGCGTGGAGCCTTCCATCTGGAGGGTATTGGTGTCATCAGTGGAACCTGGGGAGTA